TAAAACCACTGTTGTAGCTTGTTACGAATGTGCTAAATCATTGTGAAAATTGATAACTCTCGATCCTTCTTGAATAATGCATTGAGCGACTCTACATTTTTGGACGTTATCATATTGTATCGACGTCTTGAAAAAATGTGATCATGCCCAGTGTTAGATCCCCATTTCTGTTAGATACTCCCATGTAGCATATGATTTACTTTATATTTCGACCATGAAATTATCGAGCTCTTCAAAATTGTAAGCCTCTGCACCTCTCCAAAACAATGTAATGATGTCACTGCCCCGATACTTAGTTTTCAGGTTGCCCTGTATATGGTACATACAATAACTGTGATGTGCCTCGAGAAAGACTGCGGCTATATCATTTATTATTGACTACCCCTAGTTAGTTCCGAATGCAAAGTTCTAGACGTCCCCAATCATTTCCCTCAACTTCGTAAAGAACCAAGGGATCACTAGGTCATTTTCTCCGTTGACTATGCAGAATGCAAGAGGGTAAATTTGGATGTCGATATCTTGATATGTTGCAACAATCAACTTGCTATCCTATCTAGTCTTAAGGGTTGTACCATCGACTAAAATTAGGGGTCGCATCGCGTTTCAAAATCCTCGAGTACATTGTCCAAGGACTATGAAGAAATACTTCAAGGGATTCTTGTCATCTGTCTTAATAAAAATGTCGATCCAAGATTAATTGTTCTCATGTTATGGCAATACCTAGCCAATTTAGTATAATTGTCCTCGACCGAACCCATTAAGTTCTCCAATGCGCGTTTCTTGACCTTCTGGATCTTCTGATAGCATATAACCACCCAACACTCTCAACGAATGTTGTTAATAATGTCCAAAAGTTTATAGATCGTTCATGGGTCTTGAAATTTGTGCATTATTTGTCAACCATTGAACCATGAATTGGCATGCCTGTGATCTTTTCGAAGAATACAAACTTCGTAGGTATATTCCCGTGTATATTTATGAACTACGAAGAACTCATTCGTGTCCATCTTCATCACTCGCAAGTGTTAATGGAAACTGTTGTCAACGCAGATAATTGTATATGTCCATTTGTTTGATTTTTTCACTTTAAACTCAAAGTTGTGTTTCAAAACTATTTAACAAACAACTTCCAGCAAATTTTTCTCTGTTTCGAATGGTTGCTCGACATACAAATCTTTATCATCGAGAACTACACGCGAACAATTAGAAGACCATGTACTTATTCTGACCAGTGAGCTCTCCTGATTCATGTCCCCGACGAGATAACGTAATCAAATTCTCATATGTAAATTTATTTCTTTTATTATCTCTGACTATTGAGGGAATTCTGTGCGTAATAGTGAGGTCATGGTGATGAGCAATTGTCTCAGGAATAAGCATATCATTCTCACGAACTATTTCCACCGTGTCCCAAAAATCATTCATATTACGATTCCCTCCACTCGAATCTTCATGTTTACTCTCGGGGTTATTATTCTCTACTAAAGTTACGCAAATATGAGTTGTGCGATTCTGGTTCAATTCAATTAAAGCCTTTATTTTAGCTTTAGAAGTAACCATTATAGGCGTAATTGAAATGGACACATGCTTGTTGAATAGAAATCCCAATTCCATGTCATATTGAAAGGGATCGAAACCGAGCATATTCTGTAATTCATAGTACATTTTTGCATATGATGTATTAGATTTTATCACAATTGCAATAGCATCACGTTTTTCGCTCTTCCATTTCTATACCCAAAGTTCATTTTCATTCATTTCAAATTTACCAAAGTAGCAAATTGCAATTACCGTTGATCCTATATCTGCATAAGGAAAAAATAATTTGTTAAAAAATTATAATTATGGGAAAAAAGGGGGACAAAAAACATTTTGGGGGTGGCCGGGCCCCCTCGAAAATAGTTGGCCCCAACAGTTATTGATGCGAACCCCGTAGCAATGGAAACTACGAAACTCACAACGAGATTGATGCGGAACCCAAGAACGCCAATACTAACCCGATTTTGGATCTCGAACCCCAAGAATTGAACCAAGAAACCCTAGATTAGCGAAGAACCTAAAACCTCTTGATTACAATTGAAAGAACCCACAATCCCATTGATTAGAACGCCACAAGAAGTTGATTAGCTGCCCCTTTCCTCTTCAGCTGTCTCTCTACCTTCATAGCCATATGCAACATGTCTTCTAACTCCACATAATATTGCAACTCCACTACATTGGCAATTTTCCTATTCAACCCATTCAAGAATTGTGCCATGGTAGCCTCCCGATCCTCCACCACATTGGCCCTAATCATGAGTATTTCCATCTCCTTATGATAGTCCTCTACACTTTTCGACCCCTAATATAGATCTTGCAGTTTTTTATGGATCTCTCGATAATAGTGGCCAGAAACAAACCTTTTTCTCATCAATGACTTCAATTCCTCCCAAGTGTTGATTGGTCTTCCCCTACTCCTACGTTGTAAAGTAATCACTTGATCCCACCATGAAATTGCATAGTCACTGAACTCCAAAATTGCTAACTTCACCTTTTTCTCCTCTAAATAGTTATAACACTTGAAGACCATTTCAACATTCCTTTCCCACTTCAGATATACCTCGGGATCACTCCTTCCTTTGAATGAAGGAACTGTCATTTTTATATTTCCCAAATTTCCATCCAACTCCTCCCCGCGATCATTCCGACCCCGTCCGTCGAACCTATCACCTTTATTCCTCATCCCTCCCATCTCAACACCGTGAAATTCATCTTCGCCCATGTCACTCCCATATCCATACTCCTCTCACCTTTCCCTCCTAGGCTCCCATCTATCCGGTCCTTTGGCATTGGATAGATCCACTTGATGCCCCCGACTAAGATTAGCCACCGATGTATCTAATCTATTCATCCAAGCCTCCTGCTTCTCCAACCTATCTCTCACATCTCCAAACGCCCTCTCAAACCTTTGCACTAAATCCTCCGTTGCATTGCTATTATTATCTTGTCGGCTTGAATTTGATTCTGCCCTTTCTGATATCCTGACACTAAAATTTTTACTTTACTGCCTCACTAAAGTCACTCGAAACACACACAAGGGCTTTTACCCTCTATTAAGCTCACCTCTCTGCCTTTTACCACTCAATTCTTTCAACAATTGCTTCTAGGAACAATTAATGAACTCAATCAATCAATCAATTCGCGTAGAATTCCCCAAACCGGATGTGACTCAATAATTGTAACATGGACTCAAAGGAAACTTTTAAAACTTGATTTAAATTGAAGGAATGGAATGATTCAATGTGTCCAAATAATTTAGAAACGATAATGAATAATAAAAGTTGGTATTTGACGGATCAATAATATTTAACAATTTTTTTTACTGTACGGATGAACAGTAATTTTTTTTTCTTTTTTTTAGATCCGGAAATCAATAACAAAACCAACAAAGAAAACGAAAACTGATTTGGGCGAAAATTGGGCCCAAAAACAGAATTTGAAGATTTTTGATAAAATTTTTGGATCAAAGATCAAGAAAACATTCTGGATACAAGAACACAAGAAATTGAAAAAAAAATTAGAAAACAAAGGATATAACCTGATTAAATTGGAGCCAAAACTCTGATACCAACTGATGCGAACCTCGTAGCAATGAAAACTACGAAACCCACAACGAGATTGATGTGGAACCCAAGAACGTCAATACTAACTCGATTTTGGATCTCGAACCCCAAGAATTGAACCAAGAAACCCTAGATTAACGAAGAACCTAAAACCCCTTGATTACAATTGAAAGAACCCACAATCCGATTGATTAGAACGCCACAAGAAGTTAATTCTTGATAAGTTTCAAGATTGTTCAAGAAGAACAATAAATTGAAAGAAGAAATTTCTCTCTCTATAATATTAATTCAAAGTCAAATGTTCAAAGGTTTTTACAATGAAAAAAATATTCTCCTATTTACACTATTCCTCGAATAGGAGTCAAAAAGGAAATATAATTCTAATAATCTAACAAAATTCCTAAAATATTCGTCCAATATGGTAGGAGTTTGATTAAGAATGAAATTTTAGTAAAATAAGGAAAAACGCAGAAAAAAGGAAAATCGCGCCCAGAAATGAATCATGCGGTCGCATGGTTATAACACGTGCGGCCGCATGGTAATAAAATTTTGGCCATCGAATTCTCGGTCTCATGTTGTGCGGTCGCACCGTGCGGCCGTATGGTTACACTGCCCACTCTCGTCTTCGGCTGCTTGTAACGCATTGATCCATTTTGTTTCGGCTTTCGACCCGAACATGAAACTTGTCCCATTTTGCGTCCCGAACATGGTTCCATCAATAGTTTCTTGAACGAGCAATCTCATCGCTTGTTTCACTTGCTTTGCCCTTGATCGCGTCATTGGTCCGCCATCGACTATCAACGAGTCTCGTCTCGCACTTGCCTTCGTCGGGCTCGACTCTTGGATCATATCAGTTATTTTCCAGTCGGCAACGTTGGTTGTTTTCAGACCGTTGTTCTTTGAATTTTGTTTGAAATAATATACATATGGATGAATTTTTTTCCTTCTTTTTGCATAAAAAAGTTATAGATCCATTTAAGATTGTAAAAATTTATTTGTCTATATTGGAATAAGATTTAAAGATTCAAATAATACACTAGTTTAAAGAAAAAGAAATTAAAAACATGCAAATGTACTTACCGATTCCTTTTGACAACTACAAATAATATTATCTTGTCGAGTCTTTCATAAATTTATGAAATTTCAAGATTCAAGCAGATGAAAAATGAAATAATTTTTATCTATATTAGAGTAAATAGATAAAGAAAGTGATTTCGTTTTGAAATTTAAAGCGGAAAATATTTGGAATTCTTTTTAACATAAAATGGTATTATTATCTTTTAAGTAATACTATATTTTGGTAATTGTGTAATAATATAAAGATATTTTTGTCTTTTGCTCGTTAAGTACTTAAGTATGAATTGTCAATCATTTTTTGTTAAAGAAACAAATGGCTGATTTGAAAAGTACCCCTTTTATTACCCTATCTACTCTTTCAGCGGCTGCCTCTCTGTGTCAAGAATTCTGTGAATGAAAAAGGCAAAAACTAGTGAAAATCCTTCCAGCCATCTTCCTCTTACTCCAAACCCAGGAATTCAAGCCTTCTATTTAACGTTGTATTTGATGGTCACAGAACGTGTAAGTTTGAGATTAAATGTTTTCTTGTCATTTGTTTATTATAATTATATACGTAGAACGAAGAATTTCGCCTCGCTTGTAGAATTCCCTTTCCATTTGCACCTTTGATCTCATATCTCCTTGCTCAATGTGAATTTGTATGCTGAAACACCTTTGATTGTGTAAAATCCTCTGTTTCTCTTCATGTGTGTTCTTTCTTTTTCTTGTTTTTGTAAAGCCATCGTCAGAGCAATAAATTAAAATGTAAATTGAAAAATAAACAGTGTTAACAATCAAACCAAAAATTCCACCCGCAACGCGTGCTGCGAAATAACAATGACGTTGGCGCTTGGCAAAGAGAGTGCTTGCTAGTAGTTTCTGCAGCATTCGTTGCAGTGTCGTGACTCGCTTGTTAACAAATTCAAACAACATGGGCATCCCTCAATTCATCCTAATACAAAATTCTGTGCAGTTCATCTCTTCCTTTCATTCTTTGACATCTTGATTTTTGTCATAGCTATCAATCATTAAAAAATAATAATAATAATAAATTAATTAATTAAAAAAAAATTCTGTCTTCCTTCATTTTATTACAATTCAAGATATTACACTTTCATTTTCCAGATGTTACCATATTGTGAATTATCATGCAAGTTATTGTTCATGCACATTTATCTTTCATTGTGTGAAGATGATATGAGTGTTGAGTTCACCTAGTTTCCTAATTTCTCAAGATTATTGAGGTGATTGTGGGGAAAGCTTTAATAGATGATGAGACTACTTTAGTAATTAAGAATTTCCCCAGAGAAAACTGAATTACAACATCCATTGAGATAGCTTTAGCCTCCGTTTGGTTTTGATTTTTCAAGCCAAAAAATCAATTTTTTGACCTTTACTTAACATAGTCAGCCGTCATTTTTGACCTCTTTACAGGTGAGACCCATTTTTCAAGCTAACGGTCAAAAAATTGATTCTCATGATCAACACCAAATAGGCTCTTAATAGATAATGATAAATTACCATGGCTTTAGTAATTAATAACTCTCCCCATAAGAAAATTAAATCAATAATGATTTCATGACACTAGTTTTTTAACGCTCCAAGGTCATGAAGTGACTGTGGAGAAAAATTACAACACCAATAAACTAAGCTTATTCTTTACAAATTTTGGGTCTGCTACATGATACTATTTTAGCCACTCCATTGGGTTCATTTGTGGATCTAATGAAGAAAGCTTTAGAAATTAACTGCGTTGTACTTTAACTAGGGCGTGTCCGTGTCTGACACGTGCTTTTTCTCTATCATAAACATTTTTCTTTGTTTATTATAAATATTATAATTTTTAACTCAAAGTTATTAGTAAATAATAAATAGTACTCATATATAAAAGATTTGAAAAAGAAAAATTAATAACAAGTGTAAAAATAAATTTATACTATATAAATAAAAAATTTTAAAGAATTTAGTCAACGTGTTGATGACTTTCATGTTAGTGCTTTTTTGAAAAATCACGTGGCAGCATGTCCAACACGTATCGTGTCAGACACACATGATATGATATCAGTGCATCATAGGTAATTAATAGTTCTTTAGGTGATGTATAATAGCGTTATTGTATTTTATGCTTAAAAAGCTGAAACCGAGTATTGTGGCATATTTCCTTTATGAAGCTAGGAGTTTTGAGGCATAAACCTTACATCAAACCCTAAAAGTGTCAAAAAACTATTAAAATGCAAAATAAATTCATAATGCATCGTAAACAATCTTTAAATTTCAAAATAAAACAATTTAAAGTGTGTAAAAAAAAAAAAAAAGAAAGAAAAATCTATAAAGAAGCTATTATTTTAGTTGATTAATAGCGTTATTGTATTTTATGCTTAAAAAGCTGAAACCGAGTATTGTGGCATATTTCCTTTATGAAGCTAGGAGTTTTGAGGCATAAACCTTACATCAAACCCTAAAAGTGTCAAAAAACTATTAAAATGCAAAATAAATTCATAATGCATCGTAAACAATCTTTAAATTTCAAAATAAAACAATTTAAAGTGTGTAAAAAAAAAAAAAAAAGAAAGAAAAATCTATAAAGAAGCTATTATTTTAGTTGATGGGTCAGTTAACTATTTCTTAACTGAGTCTATGAGAAACACAAATTTTTAATGTTTTAGTGTGCAATGAGCGAATCTCAAAATAGCTTGATACTTATTTTATTTATTTATTGTTTATTTTTTATTTTTTTTTGGGCCTCAAGCCTTGAGGCGGTATTATGAGGCACCAAAGCGAACTCCTGCAAAAACTGTCTTGCAATCATCGCCTTGTGGCATTTATTGCACGCCTCACTCTGAGATAGGCCTTAAGGTTTTTTTGACTTGGGGTTTAATTGAACTATAATTGCACTGATAACCCTTGATCTGGTTTTATATTCCATTAATTGTGATTCAGACCTTCATTCTAGTTCAGACTAGTTGCATGCTAAATTTTATGGCTTTTCAGTGTAAGATATATTTATTGATTTATGCTATCAGTGTGGCTGGACCTCAATATGGCTTCTTTTTGCTTTATATGCTCTATAGGTAAGGTCAACCCTTGGTGACAATAGTATACCATTTGGCATTTGTAACTCTAGAACTATAACTAGCTATACTTGTTGTTCATCTCCTCCAAATGCTAATGTTAGAGGAAGAACTAATACGTCATTGGGGCATTATATATAAATTTTTGAAGTGGTCATGACAGAAATGAAACAGCTATTAGTTGGCTTTTATTATTCAAATTTGAAGGTGTCACTAATTGACTCAAACAATATTAAGAACATAAATGAATAATGCTATTTGTACATTATCGTGTATATAATGGTGTATAGATAGATGACGTGGAAAAAAAAATGAGACGAAAAAAAGAAACACAGTTATATAATCTCCCCCTCTCTTTCATGTCATCTATCTGTACATAATGATGTATAAATAACATTACTCAACATAAATTCATGTCTTGTACTTCCTACTGTTGATGTAAACTATTTTCAAATTTTGAATGTCTTGTAGTAATTGCAAAGAAATGTAAAATCCTGAAATTTTTGAAGAGTGTCACCCGTATGGTTCTTATCATTAGAAAGTAAAAGAACACTTACAGAGACTTATGTTTGAAATGAAATGGTGTAGCAGGTGGACAAAGAGAGAAAATTGAAAAACCCAGATGAGAATCATGAGATGTAGAATTGAAAAAGAAGAATAAGGAATTGGTGTTTTCTTCCTGCCAAGAATAGCTCTTTCTGTCTTGGTGATTGACCCACCCTTAAAGAATGCTTCAAAGTAAACAGCTATAGAAATGTGAGCTTTTATTATATTCAAATGGAAATTTGCTTCTTGCATTTCTTTTAGTGTTGTGAATTATGTGTATTATTAGCAAACTACAGATATTACAGATTATCTGGGCCGTGGCTACAATGGGCCAAACTTTCCTAGTCCTCGTAATTAATTGTTGGTAAAAATATCAAGAAGGCGCATAATCTTGTTGATAGCTAATGTGCCATATGAAGTGAGATTGGTTGCGCAATAATGATTGATGGAGGGACACCTGAATTTAAGAGATCTCTTATTGCTTTTCTATTTTGTCGTCCTAAAGGAACTGTTTTGTTAAAATCTGACGATGCTTTATATGCTTCAGAGGCCATTATATTGTTCTACAATTTATTTAGAAAATTTGTGGTGTTCATGAGTTCGTACTATGTTGTTCAGATGGCTCAGAATCTTATGATGCAAATTATGTTGCTAAACCAGTTGGTCATCGGAGAAAAAGTTCTGATCATTATTTTGGTGTCTGTGTAGCAGCTGTAGCTCATTATACTAACTTGATGTTGCTTAATATTGGTAAATTAGATGAAGTTAGTAAAATGTAGCTCACTAATTACAATTGACCAACTACACGTACAATTATTGCTATCCATTGCATTTGACGAGGAGATATACTACAGAAAGAGAAATACCTCATCCTACTCCTATCATTTTGGAACTTGTTTTGTAAAGTACATTATCCCAAAAGGATGCATAAACAGTGTGTACATTGTCAGCATGCACTAAGGAAATTAATAGAAAGATTTGTTGACTATGTGATTGATTCTGTATTTTGGAAAATATTGTGCTACTGTTATTTCTGACAAGAACTCCTCAGACAAACACCCAATTGACAACTTTTCATCACTATTAACAATTCAAAAATATGGACTAGAGTTGCACGACCGTATGATTCTCCTTTCAACTACAGAATCAAGCAAATCATTTTTATTTATTTTTAATTCTCCTTTAGTTTTCTTTCCTCATGCTGATAATGTCCAATCACTAGATATCACAACAGCTTTTAATGCAATTTTTGGGGCTAATAGGCTTTGCTAAGCGACTAAATTAGTTGCATAAAGAGTAGAAGTATTTGGTGATTTTTTTATGCATAAGGTACAGCTTAACTAACTTCATCTAGTTATAGTTTGTCAATGTCATACAACATCAAATTAATACATTGAGCAGCACATGGAGACTAAACTAATGTTCCAACTTTTACTCTAGTTTGAACTTATTCAACATGCTAATTTCTATACATTTGTTCTTACACTTCCCAATCCTGACTACTAGATGGATTACACTTTTAAAGAATTTCTTGGTTTCATGTTTCTTTGCAGCAAAAATATTCAATTTTTTTATTTTTATTTTTTAAACATGAGAGATACCATATGAATCTATGTCATTCCTTTTAAGCCTGCTAAATGTTGACTCTATTAGTACCAACCCTAGTAAAAGTGCTTGCACAGTACAAGCAAACCAATTTATTTTTATTTCCGTTATTATTAGCTTCAAAAATTTCTTTACAAAAGTCATATCAGTGGATGAGGCCAAATTGATATAGCACAATCTCAAGGCCTTCTATTCTTTTGCATGGATATCTAGCGGTGAAGGTTTTGATTGCAAAGATATCTAAAAAGAACAAATTTGGATTTATTGTTTACAACATTACTCCGTTTTAGTAATAAAACTTCCTGTAAATCTCAGTTGATGTGAACAAAATTAGAACAGTCTTGCACTCTGGCTATCCAAGCATTCTGGGAAGTGATGATAATTGAAACGGAGTTGATGAAAGAGCTCTCTGTAATGTTCCTACAATGAACTGTACAACTGCAATCCAAATGGAAGTAGAGGCACTACCTTTATTCAAACTGAAGCCAATCACTCGTTTCTTTCCCAATTCTCGGAAAACTGGAAGTGGGATGATGAGCATAACAATGAGAGACAGAAGCAAGAACAGAAAGCCCCTTCAGAGGGGAAGGAATCTCAGCATCGAGGCCATCCAGGCAGTTCAGGCACTGAAGCGGGCAGTCAGCTCTGAGGTGCTTCTGGAGCAAGTATTTGATACCAAATTCAGGCGTTTACTAAAGTTTGATATGATTGCTGTCCTTCGTGAACTTCTCCGTCAGAACCAATGCCTTTTGGCCCTTAAGGTTCGCCACGCTCCCACTCTACTTCAGACACAAAATTTGAGTTTGAATACTTCATAATTCATGGATTTAAAATTCGGTGACGCTCCTAAATTTCTGCTTTTGCTTGATATTTTCTCTCCTCACTTTTCCTTTTAATCAGTTGATGCTTTCCTTGCGCTTATGTCATACCTCTTCATCTTGTCTCATCTAGGTTTTTAAGGATGTCCGGAACGAGTACTGGTATAAGCCTCAACTCTCTTTGTATGCTGAAATTGTCACAGCTCTTGGACACAATGGACTGCTTGAAAAGGTAGAATTTATTGTCAAGGAATTGAAATCAGAAATTAATTTAGAGCCAGATCTTGAGGGCTTCAACGCGTTGCTGGAAAGTTTGATGAATTTGAACCTCACTGGTTTAGCAATGGAGTGCTTTTACTTGATGAAATCGTCATCATGCGATCCAGATAGGTTATCTTTTAAAATCTTAATAAATGGCTTAGAATCGACTGGAGACACGAATAATTTGGCTATTGTACAAAAGGAATCACAAAAATATTATGGAGATTTTCTTACTTTCTTCGAAACGGAAGAAACTGTGATGAGCTAAGACTGTGTATTGATATGATTTAATCCTTGTAACCTATGATTATATGATTTAAATGTGCTTGAACACTTTGTAAGTTTGATTTGTTTCAAATTTAGTTATTTTTGTAGTTTTAAAGATAAGATGTTGGAGGGAGGTGGGTAAAAATTTGCCCTTGGGAATCTGTTGAGGATAAAACTATCAACATCTTCCACTGTACTAGTAAGACTGTCTTGGCAATCTTTGGTTTTAGTCTCTGGGCTATATGGGGTGAGCAGAACAAGTTGGTGCATAGGAGAAGGAAGTGGCAGCTGACATAGTGGCAAAAGTAGTAGTGCTGCACGAGTTTGAACTGTTGCAGCCGTGGCAAGCCAGACTGAGATGGGGTGGCGGTGGCTCAGGTGGAGACGGCCAAGTGAAGGTAAATTGAAGCTCGTGCTGCAGTCCGTATTGAGCAAGATGTCATTGGATCATCGTGGCAAAGTGGCTGCGGTAAGCTTTAAAGGGGAGAGCCTTTTTTAGCACAGAGGTAGCTGAGTTATTAGAACTACGGTAAAACCAGGGTTAAGCAAAAGCCAATAAATTTGCGAATGATGTGTTGGAATGTGATGTTTAAATTCCTCTTGAGATCCGAATTAGATAGTTTTGCATGATATATAGTAGGTCTTTATATTTGAATTAGTGTGTTCTTTTTTCAGTGAACATAGTGATCTATTTTTACTTTACTAATACCTTTGAAGCTTCTATAGTTGGATTGACATCTTATTTTATCTACAATTTTGAGTGACATTTATGTTTGTCCAACAAAAAACCACCATAGCCCAATGTTAGCTTATGAACATATTTTTTCCTGCCCACGAACAAAAATAGTATTAGTTTGGAGTATTTATGATTTTGAGAATTATATTTATGTTGAGAACTTTAAAAAATTGTATAAAATTCCTATAAACTTTCAGGACATGTATTATTTTATTTATTATAATAATTAAAAGAATATTAAAATAGAAATTGCCTTGTTACGTCTAAGCTTCACTTAGGACACGTTTATGCTCGTAAGTCTTGAAATTTGATCTCAACACATTGTCATCACACCTTATATCTTTTAGAACCTAGACAAAACACTAAATGAACTTGTACATAGATAGCACTCTAGCGAAAGTTATGATAAGTATTAAAATTAAAATCAAATAAAACTAAGGTAAGCAACTAAAGAATAAGCCTCCGTTTGGTCCATTCTCTTTCATTTTTTTTTTGTCATCTTATTTTCAACCATATATTTTTTTATAAAATAATATTACATGTAAATCGAAAACTTTTCACTATTTTTCAACTATACATTTTTCAAAAAATACTATTTCAAGGATGGCAATCGAGTTCGCCGACTTGGGCCACCTGTGGCTCAGTCCGGAAAAAAGCTCGAACTCGTCCGACTTGAGACTCGGTGGAATCGAGCCCCATCTTGGAGTGATGGGCCGAGCCCGTGTAACTCAAGGGCCGGCTCGTATATTATTAAAAAAAATTGACATAAAAATAGCAGCTGTAAGCTGACTTCTAAAAGCCTGCATGACACAGTTGCCTTCTAAAGGGCAACCACGCGGCTGTCTTTTAAAGGCAGCTGTGAGCTGCCTCTACATAGTTAAAAAAGAAGAAGAAGAAGAAGAACAACAACCGAGCATTATAAAAAATAAAAAAACCTGACCCAACTCGGCTCGGTCGACTCTGTACAGCGCTAGTTGAAAGCTCGGATCGAGCCTGAATTTTTTGGCCGAGCATTGGCTCTGGCCAAAAAATGCCCATCTTAAAAAAGCTCGAGTCGAGCCCGAGCCTCGATTTTTGGCTCGCGAGCCGACTCGACTCGACTTGTTGACACTCCCAATGGATTACATCAATCATTTTTGTCACTATCATATTGAACATCTTAACTCTGTTATTTATTTTTTCCCTCTTTCAACTTGTTTGTCAAAGATTTTTTAAAATTATTTTTCTTTAAAATCATTTTCAATAATAAATAAATAAAATTGTGCCATACAAGTTTTTAATATTTTATATTATCTCCTTTCTAGCCTTCTAGGTGTTTGTGCATCGTAATCATTTCACTCCATATCTAGCACGCTATCTAAACGAAACATTTCAGAATATAATTTCAAAATTAACAAATTTGTTAAAAAATTTCAAAAATAAGGTGGTCAAAACTATAACCTCTGAAATGTTTTGACCCATAAAATATAATTAAGCAAGTCATAATCACATAATAAGTGTGTGTCTGGAAGCGATTTTGGATGAATTTTTAGCAAGAAAATGACTGTTGGTGTGTCAGGGAGGCATAAACGTTTTTGACTAAAATGCGGAAGATTACCAATTTGACCCCCACTTAAAATTAATTCTAATGTACATAATGGCATTCCAGTAAATATGTACCTATGCAGTCAGTGCTGCCTGCAAATGAGGGTCCCACAACGATAACATTTTTGATTATAATTTGGACCAAAATCGCCTCCAGACAGGCACTAAGTCACAAATCATAAAAAGTTATAGTCACATACTACATAATTTATGATTACAACCACATGTTAAATCATAGGTCAAACAATTAATAGGTCAAATATTATTATTTAGTCAACAAATTACATAATTCACTAGTGACAATGATAGTAAGTGGCAGATCCATTGAGGGTCTAATGAGTGCAATCGTCCCAAAAGGATTTTCAAATGCCCCAATCTTGACTTTTTGAAATTCAAAATTTTTGATTTTTTTGGATTTCTTTCATAATTTATTTTAGCCCAAACCCAACAAAGTCTTACGCCTTTGACATCAATTTTTTTTTCAAGACTCAGCCCACATAATTTCCACTTAAACGTTCCTACTTCCCTACCCCTAATTGCTCTTAAACTCAATTCTCAAACCGTAACTTACTGTTTGCCTACGATTCCAACTCAAATTGCACAAAGTATCAAAATTGACTCATGATATTTTTGAAAGAAAAAGAAGAATAGAATGAAGAAGTAAAATTTTGCAATCACTCTCTCTTTTTATCTTATTATTTATTTTTTGATAATTATTTTTTTTCCTTGGATAAGTCATAAGTATCAAGTCGGTTTTGCACTTTTGCTTGTTTAAATCTTCAATAAACGCTTTATTTCTGCTTAAATATCCATTTTCATCATTTTATGGGTGTTTTGATTTATGTTAAGCCATATGAATTGAGTGTGTTGATTTGTGTTTAACCAATTGTTATTGGATTTGGAAATACTTTCTTTAATTCTTTAAGTAGTTGGTTGTTTATGCAAGCTTTGTTTGGTTTTGTAGTGTGAGAATATGGTTCTCTTAACTCCATTAGACTTCAATGATATTTGTGTAATTCATATGGATTGTGTTTGTCTAGTTTTATTATGGACCATTGGATGGAATCGACGGCCGGGATTTAATCTATGTGAGATATTTTTGTTGCCTTGTTTTGGGGGAGAAGCTTTGACTAGATGGTTACCACAAAAAGGGGCTTCCCCCACGTTTTTGGCAGGACAGGTTTTTTCTCTCTTCTCCAGTCGACCACTCTCTCCATTTTTACACCTTCTGGTGAGCTTCTTCTTGAGAGTCCCTTGAGATAACTTAGGCCTGGAATAGTGGCTAAGTATAGGTGAACTTTCTCAAAGCTTGGTAGAAGGTTGAGGATGCGTTGGTGGCGGTTTCTAGCGAGGTTCTTTGCCGGTTTCTCTCTCTCTCTTTGGAAGGTGATTTGCATGACATGGGAGCTGTTCCTGAGCCTATAAATCAGCCATAAGGAAGAGGAGAAGTTGCTGTCCATTTCGGCCGAGATTGGGTTGTGTTTTTCCATTTTATATTCCTTGATTTTGCCTTGGAATCTTTTATTGATTGATGTTTATTGTTTGATTGAACTCCAAGGATCCCAACATGTAGGAAGATTTGTAGAGATATTTTAAATGAATATCACAAATTTCTATTGAAGAAAATGTTGAAGCAAAGAAATCATGTTTTGAGGAAATTTCCATTGAAGAAATGTCGAGACAAAGGAAGCAAGTGTTGAGAATGTTACTACTGGAGAAAATGATGAAGCAAAGGAAGCAAGTATTGATGAAATGAATTTTCAAGAAAATTATGATGTGGTAAAGAAAGTAAGTATTGGGCATATTGATATTGCGCAACTACTTACGGATTTCGGATAAAAAACTCTGATAATGGATTACAATGTTAATCTTCGAAATCAAATAAAAAGAGCATACTTGCAGAGATGTTCGTGTCAGCCTAAGAATAATGTGTTTTCACGTAAAAAATCAAGACAATTAATTCCTGCTTGGTACAATGAATATGGTTCATTGGAACATAGTTTAATATAAGTAAAAATGTTGTATAAAAGAAGGTAAGGAACAATCGTAAAAAAAAAAAAGTACTAAGTTTTAAATATTATCGTTTTTGTGTAATTTAAAATTATTTTTTACGTGATTCTATCTTACCCCTCTAAACCATAATCCTTTGTCCTCCACTGGTCACAGTCTTCCCCACCCTACTCAACGCCACTCCACTCTATCCCTTTCTATCAAAGTAATTTCAACAGCATTTGAGCTTTTAATTTTGCTCTTTGTGCAATCGCTTCTTTACTTGGCAAGCTGGGATAAGGTGGGGGTGGAATAAAGTAGAGTGGTATGAGATGAGCCGGCGAAAACATGTTCCATTTATTGAGAAACTGAATCTGGGTGGGGTGCGCAATTGCTCTTGATTTTGTTCTCTCTGTAAAAATTTGGATTGTTAAAGAATTAGGGTTTGGGTGTGTGAGGTCAAAAGAAATGTGCCGTTTAGTGTGATTAGGTCATAGATAGATATGCTTTTTCGAGGTTAATTTTGATTAGTGACCTATGCCATTTAGGGTGTCTACGATTTGTGACTAGTAAATTTTGATCTATGATCTGTTGACATTGATCAGTGACCTATACAATATGACATGTGATCTGTAAAGTATGACCTTGACCTGCAAATTTGATTTGCAACCACTTTTGTTTGATTTGTGACCTATACATAATAACCTATGATCTGTCACCAGCACCATGTATTAACATGATATTTGACATACACTCTATGAACGTGTAA